CTGTGGGGCGGAAGCCTGAAGTACGCCTTTCCCCCGTTCCCACTCATTCACAGGGTCCTCCTAAAGGCCCGCAGGGACAGGGCGACAGTCATCCTAATCGCCCCGGCGTGGCCACGCCAACACTGGTTCACAACTCTGTTGGAACTGTCCGTGACCGCTCCGATAGCCCTTCCCCTCCATCACGACCTCATCACTCAGGATCGGGGTCGCCTACTCCACCCGAACCTGCCGTCGCTGCATCTCACGGCATGGCTTCTCTCTGGCTAAGTGAGGTGGAGCACAGGTGTTCCCACGAGGTGCAGCAAATCCTCCTTGGTAGTAGGAAACCCTCCACGAGGGCAGCCTACCTGGCCAAGTGGAAGCGCTTCTCCCTGTGGTGTGAGCCTCAACACTCACAGCCTTTACAGGCCTCGATACCACTGATTCTGGACTACTTGCTGCACCTCAAGCGTCAAGGCCTCGCCCCCGCTTCTATTAAGGTGCATCTGGCCGCCATTTCGGCGTTCCACCCTGGGGAATCGGGCAGATCCGTGTTCTCCAACCCCACGGTGGTCCGATTCCTCAAGGGTCTGGAGCGGGTGTTCCCCTACTCGCGCCCTCCTATACCCCCGTGGAACCTCAATCTGGTCCTCACTAAGCTTATGGGGCCGCCCTTTGAACCCCTGGCCTCTTGCTCCCTCACGCACCTTTCATGGAAGGTCGCGTTCCTCGTGGCCATCACCTCGGCTAGGAGGGTGTCGGAGTTGAGGGCCCTCACCTCGGAGCCCCCTTATACCGTCTTTTATAAAGATAAGGTGCAGCTTAGGCCTCACCCTAAATTCCTCCCAAAGGTGGTTACGAATTTTCACATGGGGCAGGACATTTGTTTACCGGTATTCTTCCCTAAGCCCCATACGGACCCAAGCCATCGCAGCCTACATACCCTGGATGTTAGGCGGGCATTGGCTTTTTATCTGGACCGTACCCGGCCTTTCCGTAAATCGTCTCAGCTGTTCGTGGCCATTGCGGAACGCATGAAGGGCCAGCCTATTTCTACGCAACGTCTGTCGGCGTGGATCGTGCGTTGCATACGTATGTGTTACGAGCTCGCCAACATGCCTGCTCCTCAGATCAGGGCTCACTCCACTAGAGCCCAGGCGTCCTCCACGGCCTTCTTGGCACAGGTCCCGCTCCAGGAGATCTGCAAGGCAGCCACCTGGTCGTCAGTGCATACCTTCACAGCCCAATACGCGGTCCACCATCAGACCAGAGATGATGCAGTGGTCGGCAGGGCGGTGCTGCAATCAGTTATTCCTTGACTCCTACCCTCCTCCAATGGTAAGCTTGCGAGTCACCTAATGTGGAATGGACGTGAACAAGCACTCGAAGAAGAAAAGACGGTTACTTACCTTCTGTAATTGTTGTTCTTCGAGATGTGTTGTTCACGTCCATTCCACTTCCCACCCTCCTTCCCCTCTGTCGGAGTCACCGGCAAGAAGGAACTGAGGGAGGGTCGGGCCGGCAGGGGTATATATACGCAAGGGCGGGGCGCCGCTCTGGCGGGAAGGGAGACCCTGCGGGCCCGACGGGAGCCGCTGAGGGAAAAAGTTTCCGACGATTCGTGCACGCGGCGCGCGCACATCTAATGTGGAATGGACGTGAACAACACATCTCGAAGAACAACAGTTACAGAAGATAAGTAACCGTCTTTTTTCAAGTCACCTGTGCCTGTCCCACAACAAAGGAAGAAAGAAGAGAGGTTTCCTATTCGCATTTAAAACAAATCCTCCACCTCTGGTATATTCCAGTGTCTCAAAAGCTACAACTGTCCTTTTCCCAATTGCAAAGTTCCTTTTTCATCCCTAGCAATTTCTACAGTGCAGTTTTCAAAATCCGTGGCACGTTCAAAGATGTAAATTTTGGTGATAGTAAAAAATTATATGTAATATCAAAATACATAGCATCAAAAACTTGCTATCTGAATTTATTTAAAATAACCAAGTTTTTTGAATTTATTTGCTGCTGCAGAATTTCCAGTTTTTGCAGACATCCAGGGCCGATGCTGCAGAGTTAAGGCCTAGATCATAATTTAAACAACCCAACAAAATAAACATCTATAGAAATAAGACAAACTGCTTTTCGTCAGCAAAGTGAAATAACGTGTCTTCTGCCATATTGACTGATTGCATACATTGTATGACTAGGGTTGCCAGGTGTCTGGTTTTTGACCAGAATGCCTGGTTGAAAAGGGACCCTGGCGGTTCTGGTCAGCACTGCTAACCGGGCCATTAAAAGTCTGGTCGGTGGTGCAGCGGGACTAAGGCAGGCTCCCTGCCTGCCCTGGCTCTGTGTGGCTCCTGGAAGCGGCTGGCATGTCCGGTTCCTAGGTGCAGGGGTGGCCACGGGAGCTCCACTTGCTGCCCCGGCCCCGAGCACCGGCTCCATAGCTCCCATTGGCCGGAAAACGCGGCCAACGGGAGCTACGGGGGTGGCACCTGGGGACGGGGCAGCACGCAGAGCCGCCTGGCCACGCCTCTCCGTAGGAGCCGGAGGGACGACGTGCCGTTGCTTCCAGGAGCCACCTAAGGTACGCACTGCCCGGAGTCTGCACCTGATCCCTTCCGGTGCCACAACCCCTGATCCCCTTCCCGCCCTCTGAATCCCTCGATCCCAGCCTGAATCCCCTTCCTGCACCCCAGAGCCAGCACCCCCAGCCAGAGCCCTCACCTCCCCCTGCTCCCCAGTCCCCATCCCTGATCCCCCTCCTGCCCTCTGAACCCCTCAGTCTGAGCCCAGAGCACCTTTCTGCACCCCAAACCCCTCATCTCCAGCCCCAGCTGGAGCCCTCACCACCTCCCGCAACCCAACCCCCTGAGCCAGGCCGATGAAAATGAATGAGTGAGGGTGGGGAGAGTGAGCGACCGGGGGGGTGGAGGGGGTGGAGTGAGCAGGGGGTGAGGCCTCAGAGGAGGGGCGGCGCAAGGGTGCTCGGTTTTGTGCGAATAGAAAGTTGGCAACCCTAACTCCCTCCCGTACCCTAACTCCCTCCCAGAGCCCACACCCCAACCCCCTGCCCCAGCCCTGAGCCCCCTTCTGCACCCCAAAACCCTTATCCCCGGCCCCAACCCAGAGCCTGCAGTCGGAGTCCTCACCCTCTCCTGCACCCCAACTCCCTGCCTCAGCCTGGTGAAAGTGAGAGAGGGTGGGGAAGAACAAGCAACGGAGGGAGGGGATGGAGTGAGCGGAGGGAGGGTCCTCGGAGAAGGGCTGGGGGCGGAGCCTCAGGGAAGGGGGTGAGGCAAGGGTGTTCCGTTTTGTGCGATTAGAAAGTGGGCAACCCTATGTATGACAAATGACTGTATCAGATCTCCTTGTTCTGTAGTCAGCTTATGTAGGTTTCTAGTGTATACTCTGTAGTGCAGTGGCTGTGTGTGTACGTCCATACTGCACCTCACGGAATGGAGCCTTGATTTCAGGTAGGGCCAGCACATACTGCACGTAGCACCATGGGGCCTTGATTTCAGATGAGGCCTGCTGGCATTACTGATAAAATAGATATTTGCCATGGAACAAAAGCCACAGGATTTTAAAAAGGGCTAGTTTTTTGTATCAAGTCTGTGGCTGCGTAAAATGTTTGAACCCATGAGCTCTAAAATTATGTCGCTCGTGTTTTTGCTCACCATGTATTTACTTTTCACTGCAATATTTAAAAAATAAAAATAAAACTGCAATTAATAACGGTTAAAAGCTTCTCTAGCACCAATTGAATATGGTGCATCAGTAGTGACCAGACTGACTGTTTATTCTAAGCTTTCATTTCTCATGTTGTTTTGTCAGTATGCAAGGAAAGTAGTTTCCAAAGAGTAATAAAATAAAATAATAAAACAAAACCTTTTAAATAGATGAGTTCTCTGAGGACTGGGGATGATCTTCCTCTCCCACTCCCTGATTTCTCTAGAATATGTTTGTATTTGAAAATTCTTCTTGTAATGTATTCTCTTTAAAATGAATGTTGCTTAAAGTGGCTAGGTGAAAGAAGGCTATGTAGTTGGTATAAAACAATAGACTAATTTGAAAATTCCTGCTATTATCTGAATTTAGTCAGTATTGCTTAACTGAAAGTCATGGGCAACTTTTATTTTAGAATGCCTTACTATTTTTTAAGTATACAAATAAATATAAACCTGGTGTAAGCAACATGCATATATAATTCCAGAGTCACCTGGATAGTTGCACATATGCCTGATTTCCTTATACTTATGGAACTAGGTTTCAGAGGTATACAGGGAGCATCAGCTAGAGGGGTTAAGCATTGAAGAGAAACTGGTGTCACTTGTCCCAGTAACACATTTTATAATATTTAATGATCTGGAAAATTGGGGTGGCAATGTCAATAAGCCAAATTTTTGTCCAGATTGTCAGCCTTGCATTCATGTAGTAAGTTACAAAGGTATGGAACAGCTAAGTGAAAAATTTTAATGTACAGTGTACGAGGTATGTGCTACAAAATGGGCACAAGCCTTTCAGTTTTCACCAATTTTTCTGAAATTCTCTTTCCATGAACCCTATTGCTCTGACAGAGACAAGTAGCTTTTCTGCAGTTGTAAAGCGGTATGGTAATATATGAGGGCTCCAGGTTTGTGGTTGCTGGAACACTCTGCAAAACTATATGTTGGTGCTTGTATTGGATAAAGCATAAATTGTTCATCCACTTAATCAATCCCTCTCCTATTGAAGTCAATGGCAAAACCTGTCTAACTTCAGTGGAAGCAAGGGATCTGCCTATATGGAAGATTCGTATGTTGTGCTGTATGTTGCTTTATGTTGCAGTGTGCAATTAAGATCAGCCAATGGTGGTAAAAACACAGGTGTCAGATCTTTATGAAATATTTCATATGCAGGTGGGGTCATTTTACAGCTTTAAAAACAATCTGTTTTAAATATCCAGTATTGTTTTGCAGCAAACACACTTAGATAATTATCCAAATTAAACTTAGATTTATTTATGCTTGTTTCTGCAGTTGATTCCAATGACACCCTCTATGGTGGAGACTCCAAGTTCCTGATTGAAATTAACAAGCTGTGTGAGGCGGTGATCGCTCAGATCCTGGACCATCTGAAGACCCTTGGACAGGAGGAGGTATGACTTTTCTTGTCTTATTACTGTATAATGCAACACCAAATCACTTGCAGAGACCAATAAATGGGCCTTTCCAATTGATACTCCTGGGGGAATTCTACGCCAAAAATTAAAAAATTCTGCGCACAATATTTTAAAATTCTGCAAAAGTTCTGCATATTTTATTTGTCAAAATAACGCAATATAATCACACTGGTTTCAATTATTTCAGTAATTTATTTAAATTACAATACAATGGATGGAAATGGGAGTGGGGAGCATACAATATGCAGCCATATGCTCAGTGTTATATCATAGACAACTGAAGAGCAAGTGAGGGCTGGGGAATCAAACTCACAATTTATATTGGCTACTGACCATCTCCAGAAAGATCAGTAGCAAACAGTTCATAGAGCACATTTTGATAGGAAATTTTTTCAGTCTAGAAAGTTAGACCGGTTCTAATCACTAAAGCACCATAAGTATTTATAAGGCCATACTGTCCTTTACACCTCTCTGGCAATGTAAAGGAGTCTTAAAACTTTTACACCTGTTTTGTACTCCTGGGGGAATTCACAAAGACAATGGGAACAATTCACAAAGCAGGCAGGCTTCTACATTCTGCTCTGCCCATGCCTACCTCCTCAGAAACACCCTGAAGCCCTGCCCCTCCATGCCGAATGTGCTGCAATAGCAAGCGAGAGGGACAGAGTATCTCTTTCTCACATGCACGACTCCCCAGCCCACTCACCGCAGTGGTGATTTACATGTCTACCGGCTGCTCTGGGCACCCGAACCAATCTGCCTGCGCTGCTGGGGAGGGGTATGTGACCGTTCTTGTGGCTTCCCTTTGCGTCCCTGTCAGAAGTCATTTTTCTGTGGGGAAGCAAAGAAATCTGGGGGGGACATGAATTCTGTGTGCACACAATGATGCAGAATTCCCCCGGAGTAAATAATTGACAGTGCAATATAGTGTGCTGCTGCTTTTCGAAAGCCCTGTGAATGTTTACAAAGCTGGAGAGGATTGTATGGTGTTACTTTGGTTAAAAAAAAATAAACTGACATCATGTAGGCAACAGTGGGGTGAAGAGATTCAGTAATATTTATAACCCCACTATTTGTTGTTGTACTCTTTAAGAGATGGATTGTTTAACTGCATTCTGTGCATGACATGGACAGTCAGTTGTACCAGACAGAATTGTTTTTTGCTAGGCAGTGAAAGCTGCTCTGGTGCCAACTTTGGTCCTGCTGCTTTTCTCAAGGTGTAATAATCTCTTCAGCTCCCTTCTGTTCCCATTCCCTCCCAGCTGTCACTTCACTCCTGACCTAAAGCAAAGTCTCTACTTTATCCCTAGTCCCAGTTGCTATTTTTCTCACCAGCCTAACCAGACTTCTGAAATAGGCTAATGGACAAAATGAGAATTAACCCATTAGTCTGTTCTGAGCTAAATACAGTGGAAGTTTATTTGTAAAAGCTCTGCATCCCAGAGGGTGATTAAGAATTATTTGCTTAGTTGTAGGGAGTACTTTCACTTTTACGCTATTTTGAATAATGGTTACACTAGTTAAAACAAAGCAAAAACCTTGTCAATTTACTGGATTCCTTGATTTTGGGTTTATACAGTATGTGAGATCAAAAACAGCTCTATGGGCTCATCTGTTATGGGGTAATGACTGGCATTCTCCATGTTACTGAACTCATCACCTCTGCATGAGAACAGACTATGCCCTGGTAACATGTCTGTTTCTGAGCTTCAATTCCCACAGCAACAGCTTTTTTTTAATTTTTTTAATTTTTTTAACTATCTCTATTAGACTATTGTCTCATGTCTTATAGCCTGAAATACAGGGCAAAGTGAGTCTTTGTTGGAAAGAAAATAGAGCCGAGGTCCTTCTCTTATGTCATCTTACTTGGCTTCTCGCCAAATAGGTTTCTTTTTATTTTCTCCCACTTCTGCTGGGATTACATTTTAGAAATTCTTCTAAAGAGAGAGAGAGATCCTTAAGGTTTGCCTCCAAGAATTCATTAAGCAACACACACTTGAGAGCCCAGCTACTGCTGTTAGAGTAGTATTTCCTCTTTGATATCAAATACTTTCTCATAAAAAAACTGTAGAGATTCAAAATTAATAAATCCCACATTTTTACAGTGGCATATTCCAACGTACAGCATAAACTGTGTGTGTACAGTACCACAATGAAATACAGCTCTCTTTGGATGTAACAGCAAACCAGCACCCTGGGCAATGGCAAGGACACCAAAGCAACTTCTGCTCTTACGAATAGTGCCATGGGATCTTTTCAATGTGCTCACAGGACACATAGGACTGGGTTTTAAGATACTCTGTGAAATACCAAACACAGTAAACTGTCACTGTATTTACCTCACACAGGCTGTCTAGCTTTACAAACCTGATGCTTAGACTACTAAGAGAGTCCCTCTAGCTAATTCACTGAAGCAGGAGGTATTGTGGTCCAGTAGGTAGAGGGACACTGGACTGAGAGTAAAGGGACATGAATTCTGATCCTAGCTCTGTTATTGGCAAGCTGTGTGATCTTGGACAAGTCTCGTCACTTCTGTGCCTCAGTTTCCCCAGTTGTAAAATGGGGGGATATTTGCCTTCCTTTATGAGGTGCTTTCAGATCTGTGGATGAAGAGCACTACATAGGAGCCAAGTATTTCTCTTTTTTCTTTTTTGGGAGGATAGGGGGTGTAGGGGTTGATGAGGATGATGATTATTAAAGTCACATCCTTCAGCTCTAAAGCAGTACTTGGCAGAAAATCGTCTCAGATTTTATTTTGATTACTTCAGTGTTGGCGACCTTTTATTATTTGGCTGCTCATTTACATGAACAAGCCTCTGCTGATATTGGTTTTCCTTGATTCATTTCATTTGAAACCCATAAAAGGGAATTGATTTTCATGTAATAAAATGATTTTACCAAACTGCAATTTGAAGGAAGAGAAGTGAATCTGATGTTAACACAGTATACTCCTCCTTTCTTCCTATGTTACTTTAAAATATCTTTTAAAAATGCTTCTTCTTTTGTGAGATGTTAGTGTTTGAACTGAAATGTACAGTCCCAAACTACCCTATACAAATACAAACCATCTGTGGTCATGGGAGTGTGCCACCACACTGTTCTCTGCTTTGCATTTTTATTGCATTTTGGATGCAATAAATGTTAAAATCCTGCCTGCTGCAGTTGGACTGAGTCGTGAACAGTCAAATGTGTGCCTGTTTCATGCAAAGCCATTTGCTTTTGATCCAAATCCAAAGTGTTACAGTAGGTCTGCTGTAGGTCATTCTTGTCTTGATAGCCTCTTGTTAGGGTGTTTCTGTTCCTGTATAGACATTTGACTATTTACAGTAAGTCTCAGGGAATGATGGAAACTGGTTCCTCCAAAGCCACTTGGTATTGCACCATTCAACCAGGAAGTGTCGCTAGAAAGTGTGTTTTCTCTCACTTCAAAAAAATGAGCGTGGATTCACCATGTGTTGAGTAACATATAGAGCGCCAGATTAGTCAAAATTCCCCGGAACCAGTGGCTTCTCAGGCTGATGCAGTTAAGGCAGTTTCATAGCCAATGTTACACCAGGAAGTGAGGTGGCCAGCGTCATGTCCGACCACCTTTGATTGCCCTAACCTGATGGATCAGGTACGCATTTTGCACCTGGGTGATAACTGGTGATGGCCTTTCAGGGCGAGATCAAGCAAGACTTGAACTCTCAACCTTTAGGATTGTAGTAAAGCTCCTTAATCTTTCAGCCACTGTACCTATTTACCTGATTAGCTCACCTATTTTTTATTTTAAAGACATTAAAGATTTAAAGTTCTTCCTGAAACAATTCTCTATTATTGGCACTCCAGTATTGTTACTAAAGCCTTCAAACAGTAATGGCTTTGTTAGCTCCTTGGAGCAGGGAGTATGCTTCCTCCGCTGTTGGGAAAGTATCTGTAAGCTGTAGGAGTTGCCAGAAACAAATACCTGCAATTCTGTTTCTCCCACAGTTCCAGTTATCCTGCTCCTCATTCAAATCATACATCTCAAAGACAAGGTGAACTTACAGTGCTTTCAGAATTTCCAGCAACTTGATTAGTCTACAACCAGTTAAAATTCTTCATTCCAACATCTCATCTTGCTTCCATAACCAAGAGGTATTGAGTGGTCTCATGAGTACAGTTGTGATATGTCTAGAAAAGCAACTACTTTTTATTAAGTTGTCAGTCTGAGAAATCTAGCCAGGCCATAGTTGTAGCTTACAGTTTTCTTGGAAGGCTTGCTCAGCGGGAAGTGTCTTGTACTGCTCTTTAATAGTGGCAAGAGTGAGAACCATCCTGATTTCCACTGACAAGGATTTCTCTGGACAAGGGCTTTCAACAAAAGTGCTTCTGAGAGTATTGCCTTGGGCTCCATCATCCATGAGCCCCATGTGGCAATAGAGAGACAAATAGCTGAGTTGCTCAGCTCTCCTTTAATGAAGACTTTAAAAATTAGGGCCATGGTCTTGAAGTGTATCCTGAATCTGATCGGTAGCCAATATAGGGCTTGGATCACTGGAGTAGTATGTTCTCATTGGTCTAACCAGGAAAGCAAGCTCCTGCATGCCAAACCAGCTGGAGTTCCCATGTAGAGTGTGTTGGAGTACTCCTAGAGTGAGACTGACAAATCACAGAGTGCTGTTTCAAGGTCTGTATCCACAAGAAAGGATTTAGTCATCTGGCCATCTGAAGAAGGAATTTCTGTTTGCTGTTACTATTTAGGAGTGCAGGAGCAATGATGAGTCCAAGAGGACCATAAGACTGTGTCCATACTACCTTAGTGAACAGGGGACTTGCACTTACAACAGTTGGCGAGTTCAGAGCTGCTGCTGGGTTATTAGTATTTCCTCTGTTCCCGTCAGCATCACCTCTTACTCAGGCTGAACTTGAGTCAGTTGTCTTATATCGAGGGGCTTTATTATCCCAAAGGGAGGATAACTGTGTAATGGCACTGTGGATTAAGTTCTGAGAGCTTG